GTGAGATGTAATTCTTCCCGCTTACCATTATTCTGTGGAAGCGACAACCAGGACGATATTTTCTCTATCACTACAATCTTAACCTGTTTATGATTAACCTTCGTCTTCCCAACATATCCGCTTAAACTGTGCCTGTTACTCTGTAACCCTCTACCTCGAGGGGCTCCAGGGCCTTGTACATAGTGAACATCACTCTGTAAAAAAAAAAGTAATAATAATTTCAACAAATGTTTTCTGTTTTTCTTAATGGCCTGGAGGAAAGTGCAAAGTTGAAATATTCTTGATGCATTTTGAAAGAGAGGGAGAAAACGATGAGGTCAAAATACAAATTAAAAATGACAAATCGAAGGTGCCAAAATCAATCAGGCATAAAAATTTAAATAAACAGGGAGGCTGAAAATAAATCATAACAAAGGATGAAAAGTGTGACACTGAAATCCGAAGAAGCATTGGGATGAGCAAAGATGTTTCCCAAAAGCTAAGCAAAGTATTAAGGGACAGAAAAAAAAACATCGTTAGAAACAGAGAAAAGGCTACTGAACTGTTAAGTGATATCTGTCCACTTATATGACAGTATGCGTGATAATCTCTTCATGCCTTTCTTAAAATAAGCAAAGTATTAAGAGATAGGACAAATATTGTTAGAAACAAAGAAAAGAGTAGCCGACTGCTATGTAATAGCAATCCTCCTATATGGCAATGAATGATGGACAATCACTTCATGCCTTTCATAAACTAAGCAAAGTATTAAGAGATAGGAAAATATTGTTAGAAACAAGAAAAGAGTGTCGGACTGCTATGTAATATCAATCCTCCTATATGGCAATGAATGCTGGACAATTTCTTCATGCCTTTCATAAACTAAGCAAAGCAATAGGAAAATATTGTTAGTAACAAAGAAAACAGTACCGGTCTGAAGAACAGACTTGAAGCAACAGAAATATAGTTCTACAGAAGGATGCTGAGGAGACCATAGATCAAACATGTGAGCAACAACGTACTTTTAGAGAAAATGAAAACGAAAAGGGAAAATTTTTCTCCTCGTAACTGGAAAAACCGAATAAAAAAAGAATGTTAACAACAAATACTTTTTCACACCCAACCCAGTTCTGCGGAATCAGAATCAACGTTGAGTTTAAGCAAGCGAATGAGCCAATTGGAGTAAAGTGCCATGCAGATTTAAATTTTTCCCACTTGTGACGAATGCAGCTATCCATTTTTTTTTATATGTTAGCATGCTAGTTAACATTCGTGTCAGTCAGCTGTTGGCTCTCTCGCTGGCCAATAGAATCTTCCTGCCTATTCGTGACATCTGGCCAGTAGAAAATGGCCGCTACTACATGAAAACTGCCGTAGAAGCATGAAAAAAATTGATCATTTCCACTATCGATGGGAGTTGGGAAATGCAAAGTCGGTTTTGGCCTTCCCGCTAAATTTGGTGCAAATCCTTCGAAAATTGCGGCCGTGCATTCACACACACACACACACACACACACACACACACACACACACACACACATCCTGCCTTTTATAGATAGAGATAAAGTGCCATTGTCGTCACTTGAGTAGGAATATCGTCTTATATATTGCAGAAAAGTATTTGAAATTTGCATTTTACTTGGCCTTCAACAAGTTGGCATCTATTTGTAAAACTTTCCTTAACTATAACAAGCCAATTTATGAATGAAATGTTCATTAAAAAATTTTGTTTCAAAGATTTCAAGTTGTGGATATATCTTACTTTAAGAAGCGATAGCGACCGTGCGAAGTCTGCTAGTTTTTAATAAAAAAAAACCCTTCCTTTTAATAGTAACAGCCGACCTTATCATGCGGTCCACTGTTCGAAAAAGGTTGCCCATGCTTGGGATTGTCGGTCGAGTTCCTGCATAAAATTATTGCGCCATCCACTCAGCCGGTTTTTGGATAAGTTGGTTGCTACCCTGTAATGATGTTCTCTTGGAGTTCGCAAGGGTCATTAATAAAATCGGTGTGTGACATACACAGTACTATGGAGACCGAATAGTTAAATAGACTTGCTCGAGACATTCACGTTGTTATATAGGAATAAAATGTGGCTGCCGACACTTTAGTTTGAACATAGATCGCCAGTGAGCACACACAGGCGATTCCATTGTTGAATTAGATGTATCACGTGACCATAGAGGAAACGCATATATAGGAAGTCGCGTGACGTCCAAAGGATCATCCTTGGCCATCACATATGGGGACTAGTGTTATACCAGAACATTACCTATTCTATTGTAATAGACTCTCCCACACATAATAAGTAGTAGTTGTAGTAGTAGCGGTCGCCAGTTGGGCTCAGTGGAGTTGAGTGAGTCAGTCGATGTCGGACATTGAAGTATCAACCATCACAACTAGATTGCTGCGTCATTAACTCTTATTTCAAGTTCCTAACGTTTTGTACGTCGGACCCTTTTAGGACAGACTTAGCGAAATACAAGCCTCCACTGTGAAAACTACTCTACAACAACTAGTTAGAACCTCAAAGAGTTTCTGAGGCATTTTGGTTGATATGGTAAGAATGGTAAATAAGAATGTGTCGTTTTGGTGTTAGGAATATTATTTGTATGTTTGTGTCAGTGCTTGTGGCTAGCTAAGTTTAATATTAAAACAGAAGAAGACCATCCTTTTCTCCATTTCCCCCCTTTTGGCCTTGTGCCGCATTTGTACATTTCATGTACAATAAATATTATCACACTTCCTAGTCTATCCTTCTATTACTATAAGGAGCGCTATTCTCAACTCTATTCACTTATACTATTTCTCTATTTGGATCACTCTACGGATTACGTCCTAGTGTGCTGGTCAAACCCTCTGCCTCCAGGCAAAGAGGATACCCAGACGAGGCTATGCCAAAATAGTGTCTAGATTATTCGTTGACATTACAAAAGTGGCAACGAGTGTTCGTTGATATCACAAAATTTAGTTAAAGATTTCTTTGTCAATGGGCATTTGTCATATGGGAATTAGCGTGGCGTCTAAGTGATCAATATACAGATTACTATTCGGATCACTATTCGATGGTTACTTTTCTAGCGATTATTATCGAGTAAGTACTATTAGCGCAAGTGATATTCGAAGGCATCTGACACCAGTATTGTTCAACGGCGTTAATATAGTTTTATCTGCGATCACAAAGTCTCTACTACAACGAGCATTTACGAAAGTGGCAACGAGTGTTCGTTGGCATCGCAAAAATATATTCGAAATGGTTTTAATATAAGGATATATTGTAAATGATTTTACTATAAGCATACATTGGAAATGATTTTTTTTATAAGTAAATTTAAATGCACGATAATGTATCTAATTATAGTCCTAGTTACGAAATTAACATTATGAAGAGAGAGTTTATCTTCCTGGGTCACTGTTAAATACTGTACCTATGAACACTTACAGGCATCTTCCAGTCCTCATAGATACGCTAGACGCTATTGTAAGTGGGGGTAATATGCTGTCTAGATGGCAGCGTGAGCTATCAGCGTGGGAAGCTCTTGCCGTGTCGAACTCTCTGTCGGAAGGCAGAGAGGAACCTGGACGAGGCTATACCGAAAGAAAGAGTCCTCTCTGGGGAGGTAGATACCCAATCTCGCGTATGCGGGGTCTACGGGCAATTTTTCCCCGAGCCCACGGGCTCTGATTTCCCCACATTAAATTTGGCCTTGTGCCGCATCCTACCCAGTGGGGAGGCAGGTATATAATCGTAATATGCTGTCTGAGTAGTCCACCACTAGCAGTGGTTTACATCCTTCAGGCTCCTCGCGAGTATTGTATTTTGTTGATGTTATAAAGATTACCATTTAATTTCCAAACTCCGTTTTGGTTCTTCCCCATTCAGTAACGCATTCTAGATTACAACAGGCACATAATGAGGAAAGAGGTCTTGAAAAATCTGTTACTCACAGGAGAGGTTAGTGTCAGGACGGATAAAGGAAAGCAGCACATAACATGCTTCACGAGCATGAGAATGGTGGAACAGGGTTTAGAAATACAGAAAATATACAATTTATTTAAAACTGCAAGGGACGGGAAGTTGTGAAGAACTATTACTTTGTGCATCCTGAGTGTACACCACACATAAATAATAATAATAATAATAATAAAAATAATAATAATAATAATAAGAAGAAGAAGAAGAAGAAGAAGAAGAGAGAAATATATGGTGGAGGAATGGAAGCCAGCTTTCTCAACGATCTTTCCATAATCGAGAGGCAGGACTTTCTCACTTTACAAATTAAAATGAAGAGAAGAAATGCATTTAAAAAACAAACAAAAAAACAACAACAGAAGAACAAAATAAAACAAAACAAAAGGAAGCGCTTGCCTTTTCCCGCTTCTAGCATGTCACGTGTATACAAAAAGTGACGTCACACTTCGTGGCATAATCCAAACAACGAAAGGGGGGAAAAATAACCTAATGAATTGAGGTCGTGTTTACGCATCGTGAACTCGAGTTTTATGAAATATATTTTTCTGTAATAAATATTTCAGAAAAATCGTTAGGTACCAGTATTTCCAAAGGATGGTATTGTTAGAGTCAAAGGTGTTTAATAATCGCAATATTACTCATAGATTGATAGACAGATAGATAGACAGGTAGGCAGACAGATCTATCTATCTATCTATCTATCTATCTATCTATCTATTCGTATCTATCGTTCTTGGCCTGTTCATATGTATCTATCCATTCTTATCTATCTCGGCTTGTTCATATCTATCTATCTATCTATCTATCTCTTTCTTTCTCTCTCTCTCTCTCTCTATATATATATATATATATAGAGAGAGAGAGAGAGAGAGAGAGCGAGAGAGAGAGATAGATAGATAAATAGATAGATAGATAGATAGATAGGAATAAACAGAGATAGATTTGAACAGATAAAGGTATATAGATCAATAGCTAGGTAGACATGGAAAGGCTTAGATAGATAGATACATAGATGGATAGATATGAATAGACTGATCTATCTATCTAG